AATTCAGTGAAAAATGACATTGACTTAGAGACTAATAATAATTTTTTAAATTGAAGAGCATCAATAAATAAATAAACTGCTCTACAAGCGTGGTTGCTTAATTAAGCATATTGATTTTGTTATATAAAACCAAATTTGCGGTCAATTAATGTGAAAGTTCAACTTGGTGTTTGATTAAATTAATTAGGTGTGGAGCAATGACAGAGTGAAAGCTTGCCATCACCGAGTGAAGCATTGCGGAAACAAAACAAGATACTCAATTGGGCTGTTTACTTTCAACAACGGGATTTTCCAAGTGCCAGAAGAATTAGTGGACGAAAGCCACCCACTCCTCTATAACCCATTTGACAGCCGTGCCTTTATTCGAAAATATGCTACTACTCCTGAGCTAAAGAAGCAACCCTCTCCTATCAAGGCCTTCGCCGGTGTCAAAGCTTAATTTGCAGAGTTATGATGGTTTTTCTTCCAGTGCTAAATTATGGTTGCTGATGTTTATAATAATCCATAATAAATGTGTTCTCGGTTGCTTGGAATCTGTCTTAATTTCCTTGGCCTCCGGGAACTGTGTCACGTCGTGCTATTATTTCTAATGATTGGTATATTTTTATGGGATTCAATGCGATGCTAGTATATTCTAATGTATTGACTACATCTATTTTATAAAAATAAATAAATTTTCATTGGTTAGACCGACTGCCTAATCTTTTAGGGCTTGTTTGGTACACCTTCTAACCTTAAACTGGACTAGACAAATTTTTATCCCATATTTGTTTTCACTTAGTTTTAGTTTTAAGTGGGACTGTTAATACTGGCCCCACCAAAAACACCTCCTTAGGTGTTCTTAGTGAGACCCGCATGGAGAGGGGGGACAAGCTAGTCCCAACCTAAGCGCTTGCACCAGCCAAGCCCTTGCCGCAACCATCGACCACCCAAGCGCCTTCCACAACCACCGACCACCCAAGCACCTGCAACCGATCCAAACCCCCGCCGTCACAGCCATATGCAGTGACCCCAATACAGCATCGCGGTCAGTTCCAGTCAGTTTCGGCGAGCACCGATTGGAGATAACGACTTCGCAGCTTGAACTATAGGCTGTGGACACAGCGATTGTGCAAGGGTTTAGGGGAACGATAGTGATGATTGTGCAAGAAAAGGGAGAAGTAGATCAGACAGAGTATATTCAGAAGAAGCAAAGAGAAAATTTTCGGGGAAAAAAAAAGCCAATAGAAAAAATTTCAAAAAAAAAAACCAAAGAGAAACATATACTGGGAAGAAGAGGCAAAGGAGAGAGGATGGAGAAGAAGAAGAGAAGAAGAGGAGAAGGAGAGAGAGGATGGGGGAAGAAGAAACCAGTCGCGGGAGAAAGAAGAAAAGAATGGGATACAGAGAGAGAAGAAAAGTCAAAAAAATAATATTAAATTCATTTCAATATGTTTTTAAAAATTTTAATTTTTTTATAAAAAAAATCTAGTCCTAGTCCAAACATACACCAAACGAAGGACAATTGTTATCCATTTTAGGCCAGGCCAAGCCAATCTAGGACAGTCCCTAATCATAGTCCATGTCAAGACAGTCCTTTGTACCAAACGAGCCCTTAAGGCCCAGTGGGTGGTTTTTATTATTTTTTTATTTGTTATCTTCCTCGTGTTAATAAAATCTTATCGCTTTCAAAACCAAAAACAAAGTCAAACTTTCGTGTTCTTCACTTTCAAATAGTGCTGCTATTGAGAAAAGAACACGGATTTGAAGGGAATTCATAATGTAGGAATTTCTAAAATCTCATGAAGCGGAACCAAGAATAAAAGGTAGAGATTCATATAAGTCTTATTTTAGGTTTCAATCTTTCTAGGTTTATGAAAATAGCATCCAATGACTCTCTAAGACAACTATTGCAAGAAGGATTAAGAACACATACTCTTGGAGTGAATCTTGAAACCAAGGATGGTATTCGATTGAGTAGAGGGATTGGTCCTTTTGATGTTGGATTTTCATACTTGTCTGCAAATAGGTACACAAAGGGTGCACCTCCCCAAAGAATCTTCACCAAGGATGAAGGAGAATAGGAGAATAAGGAAGCTGGAAGAGAAGATGGGTGCTAGCCTCTTCTCTCCAAGTTGGTCGGCCAAAGGGAGACTAGGGAGGGAGGTTTGATATTTTCCTCTCTTCCTAAATGTCTAACTTGAAACTCTAAGGAGTAGTGGCAGATTCAGGATTCCAAAGCCGACTGGGCGAAATTTACATTTAAAACTCGACGATATGAATTTTATTAATAAATATAGAAAAATACACCTAGTCAATAGACGTAAGAATTTTTATTTATAAAAAAATAAATTAAAAAAAATCAAAATTTACCCCTTACTTTCATAAATGTCAGTTTTTATAAAAACTTTAAAAAATAACCAAATACTCACTTAAATAGACTCAAATGTCCTCAAAATTAAAAACAAATAAAAGAAGGAATGAAGCCTAAATTCAGTGTTTGAATTTGGGTTTGGCTTGCTACCACTTCGGTGTCTTCTCTTTAATGAAAGACAGATTTGGACCAAAAACATTAAAAATAAATTTCTTTTATATAAACTATGCTTATTTTGTGCTATATTTTTTTTTCTCCCAGTAATATAATTATCAATTTGTTTTATTATAGTTGAACTGAAGTTCATTTATAGTTGGTGAATTGAATTTCAGAAGATTGAAAACGGCTTTTGGAAAGGGAAAGCTGAAGTGAGGTTGGGGAAGGTGGGGAAAGGGGATGGTGGTATGAGAAAGAGTCATTCCTCTCCTTTCTCTCCCTTTCAAACAAAGAACCATTTATCTCTTTCTCTCTCTCTCTTCTCTCTTTGAATCACAATGCAGATAGTCTGAATCGGTTTTAACTCTTAGATGCAAATTGTTTTTAACTTTAAGGGTATTTAAGTATATTTAAGTGGATTTTTTACTATATTTGAAAGTTTTATTGTTAGCAAGAACCTTCAGATTAATTGATATGTTTTTTTCTTAAAAAAACAAAAAGATGACGGATGTTGAAGAATATTAGAAAAGTTTTTGACGAACAAAAGTTGAAATTTTTGACTTGCAATAAAAGTACATCAATGCCCTTTCAAAAGAGTCAAGTGTTGAACTTTACAAATACCGAGCCGGCACCCCATTGATCAAGTTGAAGGTCAAAGAAAGACGACAGAGTATTTAATCGTGCGCTGCGCATACAACCGAGACAGAAGAGACAAAGCTATTTCAAGGTAAAGCTGATGAGCCAGCAACTTGCAATGGATTTTTATTTACGAGTTTGAATGTTCTTCTTGTCATGTAGCGGTGCGCATGTCATCTTTGTAAATAGACCGCTTCTATTTGCTTTGAAAAAAAAAAAAAAAAAGTTATATATTCATTCTTAGCATTAATAATATAAATAAACTCTACACTATTTAATTTTTATAAACAAAATAAAAAAAACCCAAAAAATAACAGCTGGCCTTATTGAATTTAATTTTTATTATTAAATTACTTTGATACCCTATTGAGTGTTTTGAGTATTTTTATGAGAAATTAATGGCAATTTTGCAATTTAATAGAAGTTAAAAACCTCTCTGTTATGTTGTAAAAAAGCTTTGGGTGTGTTCCTAAAGTCCATTTCATATAAGGTTTTTTTTTTATTTTTTTTTTTTAATAATAATTTGGACCCCTATATTGAATCTAATAGTAAATCTTCTAAAAAAAGACCGCTTCTATTTGGTTTTTTAGCCTGAAAAGTCTTAGCCGCTTCCATCTTTTTATTTCTTCATTTCATTTGGACTGCACTAATAGCTAGAAAATATATGTTTTTTCTTCAACTAAACATATATTTTTTTATAAACATTTTTTGAACGATATAAAGACTTGTTATTCATATTTTATACTTCAAACTGAATTGCATTACAATTCCAACTAAATAGCTTCTTTACCATTATATTTAGCTTGGTGTCAACCCATAAGGACTAATCACAATAGTCAGCACTAATCATATATAATAGTACGCATTGTTTTGTTAATTAGAATCTAATTAATTGCACGTTGATAAATTTAATTTTTTAAAAAACCAATAAAAAATACATACGTACATGTCTTCCATGTAATAGCAGTTTTTTTTTTTCCAAAGAAATTTTGTATGAATTTTTATCTCAGTTGAGTTTAAAGATCCATACCAAGATATTATATGAGTTCAATTAGCTGGGCTAAAGGGTATAACTACCTAGATTAGAGGTAATTTATGGATTTAATTACCTGGACCAAAGGTAATTTATGGGTTTAATTACCTGCATACTGCATACGAGGTGTATGCATAGGTACCTTACCTATTGTTAAGGTATGAAGTTTTTATGAACTCTTATTACAAATTTTGATGTCGATATACCTTGGGAAAATTTCAGAATTCAATAGATAGATTTGCAATTAAATTCAAATCAAATATGATAATTAATATCCTACAAATCAATAAATTACCAGTTTTAGGAATTCATAATTTACCTTATTTATGTTTTAGATGTATAACTGGAACAAAAAATAAAAAAATAAAAAAAAGTAAATATCAATAAATTGAAATAGGCATGTAATCTTATGTGGCGCAAAAGTCAAAGAACTTGGATCAACAACAATTTCTGTGTGGATTGCACCCAAAATCTCTCCTCATAATTGGACTTATGCCAAATTTTCTACAAAATATTCAAACTTCAACTCAATGAAATCATATACGGCATACAGTCCGAAATGTCGACGCAACAAAACTTATAATATAAAAACTTGTATTATATAATGGCGTTCCTGACCATTATATACGACGAAGCCAAAGAGAAATTTACCTGTGAGTTGATCAGGTCGACGCCTGTGACCAACATACAACATGTGATGTAATAAAATAAAATCATTAGTTCACTAACATTGACTAACAACTCATATTCTTTTCTGTCCTAATATTTTTTGGAAGACAAGTTGCATGAGGAACCACTATAAGAAGGAGCATGAAGCATATCATTTTTCATATCGATCAGTTTTCTCTCAAAGCTTTTGCTACCAACAGCTTACCATCAACTTCCCAGTTTTAGTGAAATGGGTTCCCTAACAGTGCCTACGCTCCCTACCATCAACTTCTCCATTGAAGACTTGAAGCCTGGTTCAGCTTCTTGGCTATCCACTGCCAAACAAGTCCGGTTTGCGCTCGAAGAATACGGCTCTTTCGTGGCACAGTATGAGCAAATTTCTGCAGAACTTTTAAACAACATGTTTGGCCAAGCCAAAGATTTGTTTGAGGTTCCCAAAGAAAACAAAGTCAAGAACGTTGGTGAGGAACCCTATCGTGGGCATATGGGTCCAAACCCTGGCTTGCCACTCTATGAAAGCTTGTGCATCGATAATGTGACATCCCCACAAGAAACCCAAAAGTTCAAAAATCTCATGTGGCCTGAAGGAAAGAGCAACTTCTGGTAATTTCAATTATATTCATCGATACATGGACACACGATGTTGTAGTTGGTTCATATTATTTATAGTGCCGATAATTTGATTCAATTTCATAATAAGATAATATAAACATTTTTCTAGCGACATAAGTTTACCAAGAAAACATGACTCGTTTAATATCTTACTCTCCTATTTATTGTATGTACTCTAATTTTATTTCTTCTTGTTTTGGCTATGCAGTGAAACCACAGATTCATTTGGGCAGTTATTGGCACATTTGGAACACACTGTTGAGCAACTGATGTTCGAGAGCTATGGGATTGGAAAGCAATACGAGTCAGTTGGTAGTTCGAACGGTCACCTTCTTAGATTCATCAGATATACAGTACCAGAGGACAAGGATGCCACCGTAAGGTTTCCGAGCCACACAGACATAAACTTCACCACCATTGTTGTTCAGCATGATATCGCTGGCTTGGAGGTCAGAACCAAGGAAGGTGATTGGATTAATGTTGAGTGTGCACCCTCAAAAGCACAGTTCGTATTCATGGCGGGTGATGGATTGCAGGTGGGTCAACCAATAAGTATACTTAATTTTTAATTACGAATTAATTATTTATTTGTTAAAGATTAAGCTACCTATTTATTTTTTAATTAAATACCTTATTATAAACTCCAGCAGTCGATGTTGACTTTTTACGCAAATTGATTCCTTAATTGAACTTAACAACATATAATACATAATTTGCTCTGCACCTGGCTAAATAAATAAAGAAGTCTCGCTATACATGTGCATGTTTAGTTTATAAACATATTGCTTTTATCATATACAGCCAAATTTGCATTCATCCGGAAAATTCCAGAAGTCTATTCACAACGTAACTTGTAAGAAAAAAAGATGATAGCGGATCAATTAGATTAGTCATACACTCCACCATCCTTGTATTTAGTTTAAGAATTTTCCTTATCTGCTGTTTATCGTTTGAAATTTGATTTTTTTCGTCGAGAATCTTCTTTTTAATTTCCTTTGTACTTATAGTGAAAAATAAAAACCAAATTTCCATTCCTTGACACATACATATAACATCCTTTTAAACTTGGTGCTTGATTATAATTAGGTATGGAGCAATGACAGAGTGAAAGCTTGCCACCACAGAGTGAAGCACTGTGGAAACAAGACAAGATACTCAATTGGGCTCTTTACATTCAACAATGGGATTTTCCAAGTGCCAGAAGAATTGGTGGACGAAAGCCACCCACTCCTCTATAACGCATTTGATAGCCGTGCCTTTATTCGGAAATATGCTGCTACTCCTGAGCTCAAGAAGGAAGCTTCACCTATCAAGGCCTTCGCCGGTGTCAAAGCTTAATTGCAGTATGTTATGGTCAAGGCCGGCCCTGAGAATTTGAGAGTTGTGTGCGAAACTTAAACTGAATTAAATTATTAATTTTTTTAATAGTTATGATTGTTGATTTTATAAAATAATATATAAGCCATAATAAATGTATTTGTAGTTTTCTTGGCTTCCCGACTGATGAAGGAGTGGGTAAGCATATAAAATGGGAACCACTACCCACCACATGAACGTGATGAAAGATTTAAGATTGGACATAGTCAATAAAAAATGTAATTATTAAATATAACAGCAATTTAAGTTTAAGTTTAAGGACATAGATAATAATAATAAAAATATCATGGAATGGGTCTATAATAAAATATCCCTTAAATATAATAGCATTTTAAGTTTCTGGACATGGATCTAAAGTCCTTTAAGAAATGTTGGTGTGAAAATATGAAACGTTTAAAAATATGGACCAACTTGAAATACTGCAATAGGTTGCGGGGGTTTGTGTAATTAACTCTAAAGTTTGTTTTGAGAATTAGTAGGTTGGAGGTAATATTCTCTTCCTAGTTATATTGTTAAAAAAATATTGTATCTTGTCTAGATTTGAATTTGAAGTACATGCCTTTTCACAAGTTTACATTCGCATTTTGTTGTCAAGACGTGCATATCTCGTCACGTATCCTGAGTCTTTGCATTTAAAAATCCAACATTTTTACACATTTCACATCATTTGAAGCGCTCAAATAATTCAGCTTTGATAAATATACTATTTTTTATGGATTTTCAACTGACCGTAACAAACTGACTCTCTCCCTTTCTCTGTTTGTTTTTCTTCTTTGTATGTCGATCTTGTCTTTGCTCTACTTCTTCAATTTATTTTTCAGTAATTGAAGGCGCCTACGTGTAATCCCAATATTGAAGAAAACGTGATAATCAAGCACATTATTTTGCAATACCCTTTACTGTAAAATTCAATGGTTCTATCATTTCATCCCCAGATCATTATGATAGCCAATGAATTCAAGCAATATAATTATTTATAGTTAAAAAAGAAAAAAAAAAAAAAAAAACTGAAGCAGTATAGTTTGGTATTTAAAAGCTATCGGTTTGAGGAATAGGTAGAAATGGTTGTCAATGGGTATTGGTTGAATTCTGAAACAATCAGTTGCAATAGGTTTGTGTGAAATATAAATAAGAAACATGAGATTGTAGGTACGAGAGAAGTGATCGAATACGCAAACTTATCCTAACTTAGGTGGCTAGTTCATAAGTATTGGATTATTTGGACGCTCCAAATAATGTGAAATGCGTAAAATGCTGGATTTCTAAATGCAGAGGCTCGGATCCTATGATCACTACACCGAAAATTTTTTAGGTGTACTAAAAAATGTGTCTAATTAGTACCAAAAATTAATTATACATAATTAAACATGCGGTTATATTTTTATATAAAAAAATTAATTCTATGTGGACACCCGGATGTTATTATTGTGCAGACGTTGTTTATTATGACATTTACACCGTGATAATGTGCTATAGACTAAAACTTAATCTTTTTGACTAAAAAAAATGACGTGAAGTTGAAGGTCAAGAAAGACGATATTATCATATATATTATGCATGTGGCTGATGGCTCAAAGAAAATATGCAATATAGTACTTGAGAGAACCTGTCTCTCTCAAGATAAAGCAGAGTCGACGCCTTTGACAGAAGGAAAGATATAATAAATTAATATTTCTCCTTAAGGATAATCAGAGAGAGCCCATTCAAACTTCAACTGAATTAATTGGAAAATCTAAATGAGATCATGTCGTGATGTGATCCAAACTTCAAGTGAAATAACATGTAGAAATTATATATTTTTTTCTAAGACATAAAAGAGATAAAGACTATTCTACTTAGCTCGGTGTCACTTCTTTCTTGTGGAAGTTGTGAGGAATAATATTTCCACACTAAAAGCTAAGGAGTGGAAGTTGTGAGGAATAATATTTCCACACTAAAAGCTAAGGAGAATTGAAATGAGAGTTTTAATTCACAATTAATTAGAATTCTAAGTACGCACTATTTTTGTTAATTAGAACATAATTGACAGTACATCAATAAATTTGAATTAAAGCCAAGAATTATGGTTAAGTCAGCTAATTGAAGAATTGATTAAATCAGAACTTTTCCGCTTGCAGGTGTTTCGTATCCCCAACTCCTAAACTAGTAGAGAGTTCTATCTCTCATATGATCTTCATACAGCACTGGATGCAATGGCCGATGAGTCAAACAATAGATACAAGTCAAGAATGCACCACTAGAATAATATTAGAAAAAAGTTTGCAGCAGACAAAGGTTGATCCTTTCGTTAAAACCAGACAAATGATCCTTTCAATTTTGATCAAGTTCACGGTCAAGAAGGACGATGAGTCAAAAATGATGAGCAAAAAATAATATATTCAGAAACTGCTTCAAACGAAATCAGTGAGCTAGAAACAAACAACGGAAAATTACACAAGAGTATGACATATCACGTCCAGTTTGAAATGTCTACGCCTGACCAACAGAACACATAATAAAACTAATATTATTTCGCCGCGATGTGTACGTTATATATTTTTCATAAGAAAAGTCACATGAAATGATAGAAAAGAACGTTGGTCACAAAAATGGAATTTGGTGTGCATGACCGTTGACCTAATATTTATATACTGGGTTTTGTCCTAATTTCTTTTGGAAAACAAGTGATCGCAGGAAAAACTACTATAAAAGGAGCATCAAACCTACCATTTTTCACATCCATCAGTTTTCTCTCAAAGCTTGTGCTACCAACAGCTTACCAAGTTCCATAACATCCCAGTTCTAGTGAAATGGGTTCCCTAACAACAGAGCATAAGCTTCCTACCATCAACTTCTCCATTGAAGACTTGAAGCCTGGCTCAGCTTCTTGGTTGTCCACCGCCAAACAAGTCCGGTTTGCGCTCGAAGAATACGGCTCTTTCGTGGCACAATATGATCAAATTTCTGCGGAACTTATAAACAAAATGTTTGGCCAAGCCAAAGATTTGTTTGAGGTTCCCAAAGAAAACAAAGTAAAGAACGTTGGTGACGAACCCTATCGTGGCCATATGGGTCCAAACCCTGCCTTGCCACTCTATGAAAGCTTGTGCATCGACAATGTCACATCCCCACAAGAAACCCAAAAGTTCAAAAATCTCATGTGGCCTGAGGGAAAGAGCAATTTCTGGTAATTTCAATGTTCACTATCGATAACTTATCCCTATTATTTATGGTACCGATAATTTGATTCAATTTCATAATAAGATACTATAAACATTTTTCTGGCGACATAAGTTTACCAAGAAAACATGACTCGTTTAATATCTTACTTTGTTATTTCTTATACGTACTCTAATTTTATTTCTTTTTGTTTTGGCGCATGCAGTGAAACCACAGATTCATTTGGGCAGTTATTGGCACATTTGGAACGCACTGTTGAGCAACTGATGTTCGAAAGCTATGGGATTGGAAAGCAGTACGAGTCGGTTGGTAGTTCGAACGGTCACCTTCTTAGATTCATCAGATATACAGTACCAGAGGACAAGGATGCCACCGTAAGGTTTCCGAGCCACACAGACATAAACTTCACCACCATTGTTGTTCAGCATGATATCGCTGGCTTGGAGATCAGAACCAAGGAAGGTGATTGGATTAATGTTGAGTGTGCACCCTCACAATCACAGCTCGTATTCATGGCGGGTGATGGATTGCAGGTGGGTCCCATACACTAACCAAAAAATTAATACTTAATTTTTTTAGTTAAGAATACTCTATTTATTATTTGTTAATGAATGTAGACATTTATGTGCAAGTTGTGGTTTTTTTTATTTATATTAATTAAACTTAAGAGCATAAAAAAAATACATATATAATTTGCTCTGTGTACCTGGTCAATTAAAGCATACGACTTTCGTAGAACAAAATTTATACACAGATATAAATAAATAAAAAAGACTCTGTATATACATGTTCATTCTTAGTTAAACATAAATCTCTTATATAAATGATATTGATTTGCAGACATGTAATCTTATTTATTTTTTAAATTAAACGGCAACGAGAAATAAATAAAGAAATCACTCTACGCATGTGCCTGCTTAGTTAAACATTTTGCTTTTATTATATAAAACCAAATTTGCATTAATTTGATGTGAAAATTCAACTTGGTGTTTGATTGATTAGGTGTGGAGCAATGACAGAGTGAAAGCTTGCCACCACAGAGTGAAGCATTGCGGAAACAAGACAAGATACTCAATTGGGATGTTTACATTCAACAATGGGATTTTCCAAGTGCCGGAAGAACTAGTAGACGAAAGCCACCCACTGCTCTATAACGCATTTGATAGCCGTGCCTTTATTCGAAAATATGCTACAACTCCAGAGCTCAAGAAGGAAGCGTCTCCCATCAAGGCCTTTGCCGGTGTCAAAGCTTAATTTATAGAATTATGATTGCTGATGTTTATAATAAGCCATAATAAATGTGTTCTTGGTTGCTTGGAATCTGTCTTCATTTCCTTGGCTTCCGGGAACTGTGGCACGTCGTGCCTAATCTTTTAATTCCTAGTGGGGGGTTTTTTTTTTTTTTTGGGGGTACTTTTTAGTTCCTCATGTTAATAAAATATTATTGCTTAATCTTTAACAAAAAAAAAAAAAAAGAGAGAGTCAACTTTCATGTTCTTCACCTTCAAATTGTGAGCTGATTGAGCATCGATTTCGTCATTTATTGATATATTTACAACATGGAGAAAGATAATGGGGAATTATCGTCGCCTTTGTTTATTCAAAGCCGTCATGGTTGAGCCCGTGTTTTCATACCCCAACTACAACGGTGATTCATAGTCGTTGATATTACGTCTACACCACAGTACTCGTTCTAGAAGTGTCGTCTAGTCGACTTCTGCAAACAAATGACATGGGAGTTTATGTCTCTGAGCTTTTAAATATCTTGATAAAAAGAGGGAAGAATTTTATTAAATCAACAAGAATAAATAAAGAGTACAAAAAACACATATTGTAAATGAAGTCATCACAAAAAACATATATTACCAAGTCTTTAAAATGTGGATGGAAAACAGAATTATTTTTTAAATATACATTAAGAGTATTAAATGGGAAAATACTAACTAGGTTTACTACTATGTGAACACAAAATGGAAAAAAAAAAAAAAACAAAAAAAACCAAATCCAGCCCTGCCGTTGGAGCTTTGAATTTGAAGAATGCAATGCTTATTGCAATTAAGAATTGTTATTAATTAGGCTAATTTCTAGGTATATTGATTATATCAATCCTATTAAAAAAATATTCAGTATATAAATTATCAAAAAGAAGAAAATATTGATTACTTTGTGTAAATTCAAGAGTGGAAGGCTTTCATTGCAAATGTAAAGTGATGTGGATTAAATTCATTGCCCTATTTTCAGGAGGCCTTGAGAACCACGACACAGTCATCCCTATTTATTTTTCCAGATTGTTAATAGAGAGAGTGTAAGGTTTTCATTTGTACTTTTTTTTTTTAAAAATTTTAATTTTGGCTCTTCTCTTAAACCATCAAAATTATTGGAATATTAATTAGATTCTAGGGTAGAATTAGTGTGGGTTGAAGGGCTTCCAAGTCTCCTTGTTGCAGTTCAAAAGGTAACATAATTTACATTGTTCACATGGATTAATCCATAGTTCGCTTGGATTGATCCAACGTTCATTCTTGCATGCTGCAACATATGTCTCTTAAGTCTGTTATCAGTTGTATTAATACTTTCTACAAAAGTATTAATCCATTATGCATCAGTTTTATTTATAACTTTGTTAGATTTCTTTATTCTATTGATATTTCTTATCTAACCAAAGCATGAGGTTTATTAGATTTATTAATGACTATCTTTATAAAATATTAAACCCTTATTTCTAAAGATTTCTTGATTATTATATTTTATCTTTTCTAAAAGTCTGTTTTTATTGGACTAACGTCATTTTAGTCCCTGGAGGTTTAGGGTCATTATTGAAATGGGCCCCCAGGTTTCAATTTCATCAATTTCGTACCTGACATTTCAAAAACTTACCAATTTACACTGGCTGTTACATTGACCATCAAGTCAGATGTTAAATGATGACGTGGCAGTCGTGGGTCCCACCACATAATCTAACTAGCCAGTCGAAATAGTCTAGACGAAGGGCATTTTCGGGAATTTTTTTTTGTTTTGTAAAAAAGGAAGTTAACTATTTGCTTCGTTGCACCTTATATTCAACATAAGGTGAGAGGAAGCTGGCCAGAGGAAACTAGCGAAGAAGATCTAGAAGCGATTGGATGCCCGGAATGGATGAAGAGGCGCCAATGTGTTGGTGTGGCAAGGCTGCTACAATTCGGACCTCTTGGACAAATTCGAATCCTGGGAGGCGATTTTCCATGTGTGCAGCAAAGGTACGTGAGAATAATAAGGGTTTTAAGGGTTGCCAGTTCTGGGCATGGTTTGATTCGGAAATATGTGAACGGTCAAAGGCAGTGATTCCTGGGCTTCTAAAATCGCGGAACAAGCTGGAGAAATCAGTGGCAAAGGCAAGACAAAGAGAAAAGGTCGTCTGGGTGTTGTTGGTGGCTTCGTGGGTACTGTTTGCAAGCTTCATTTTGGGAGGGATGCGTGGATCTGGAGTGAACAAAAAGAGGAGTTTCGAATTAGCTTCTGCCATGCTATGAAGTGTTTCTGGGTTGTTGGTTATTGGGGTATTTGTGTTGTTTGTGTGCTTTTGTAAGGGTTTAATTGCTATGTAAGTGTTAAGGCACACATCAAATGCATTTAGTATGTTTTTGTTTGTTAATGGGATTGTGAAGGCAACATTTGCAGTGAATTACATGTAAATTAAGTCAAAATGAAGTGAATGCCCAAAACAATGTTAAGAGAAGTTTGAAAATTTTGCCAAAACAAGCAATGCCTAAAACAATACATGTGCTAAATAAAATCAAATTATGCAAACAATAACTTATAAATTTTCCAATCAAAATGGGCTCAAAATAGCTAGATAATACATTCACAATTACATATTTCCTGTCCTATGAAATCCATTACAAAATGGCAATCAGTGGATGTATTTGCATTCACAGTGGCTGAAGCTTATGTGAATGCCATTACATCCATAAAAAAGGTCATTCATTAAGTTACACATGACCAATTGACCAAAAACAACCCCTAATCACAAGTCATTAAGTTATACAGGACCAATTTACCCTAGGGTTTAGGACCCTTTAATCACAAAAATGCCAGTCTAACAACCCCAAATTGTAATGATTCCCTTTTTCAGTTAGCTTCAATCTACAACATTTGATCCTGCAATTGATGCACAAGTTGATGAACCAGGACATGAAGTTGAGGCCACTGAAGGTTGAGAAGTGGCATGTCCTTTCTTACTTGGTTTTGGCTGCACAGATTATTCAGGATGTTAAGAGAGGATTTGGAATTTGAAGAAAATTGATAAGAACCATCATAAACAGAAGTTAGTTACCAGAGGTTTCCCTTTTTGCACACGCCTTGGAGGCTTGGATATTTTCTTTTTGGTGCTTGGACTAGCTGAAGTGGCTGATTGGGATGGATCAATAGTGGTCTACAACAACAAAATATTTGTCAGGATGCAACAAAAGTAAGTATTATTAAGGGATTGAATTGAGCAAGATTGAGTTGCTATACCGGGATATTTTCAGTACTTCTCTTCCTCTTACTTGCAGTTTTGGCCTTTGGGGGAAGATTCCTATGGCAAGTCCTCCTATTGTGCCCCTTTTTACCACATTGCCCACATTTGAGAGAGTCCTATGTGTTGGGAATACGAGACAATGCAGTTTCAGCTGTGTTGCTTGACTCTCCCATCTTCATTTTGCCCTTGTGCTCTCCCTCTTCTTTCTTTCTACATTTTCTTCGCCTTCCAGGCTGTTTAGAGTAAGAAGGAGGAAGACATGGTGGAAAGTCAGTCTTACCCCACATATCCATCCCATTCATAGGCAGTATGAGATTATCATATGTCTTCAAGTAAGTTGTGTTAATGTATGCATTTTGAGTATTTCTTTTGGCTTCCTGATCGGTGCATATTTACATATCATTTTGTACCCTTCTAGCTTATGATTTGGTTATGTTTTTGAGTTAAACTTGTGCTTTTAATCCTTTTTGTGTTTATCTTTCAGTTCATTAAGATTTAGGTAATAATGAGGGCTTTGGATAGTAAATGATGCAATCCATGCATGTTAGGGCCTAATTTGGATGAATGGATGAAGAGCTTAAAGACAAACTCAATTTTGGCTACAGTCCCCTGCCAGCTCAGTTTCGTAGGTCATATTGCAAGCTTTGTTTCAGCAACCTACATAGCTCGGATGAGGCCACATTCTTCATGAAAGTTGTTCCAATGGGTGTGTAATATAACATATCCAAAAGTCAGCCCCATTGGATAAATATGGAGTCTGTTACCTAGCAAACACAGAACCATGCTCAGGATGGAT